ACTTCCTAGCTGTGTGGCTTTGGTCAAGTCGATTCACCTCCCTGAACTCCTGTGAAATAGGGACAATACAGTTCCCTCGGGAGGTTTTAGGGACTACGTTAGTCAATGCTGCATATTAAAGGCTTAGCACAGAGCACTGTGCACAGTAGGTGCAGCTCTAATTGTGATTAGAAAATACAGGCCACGAACAGCCCTTGGGGGCCCGTCACTTCAGCCTTGCCCTTGCTCCCTTCTCTCCCCTCCCAGTCATATGGGGTGAGGGTAGGAGGTGGACTAAGTCCCAAACCAGGTCCTGGAGGCTATAGTAACGGGGGCTGGAAGACCTTCAGAGACTCTAGGCTCCTCTCCCCTTCTCGCTTCACAGAAGGAGAACCTGAGACCCAGGGAGAAAAGAGACTGGCCAGCGGACAAAAAGGGAGTGGAATCCTGCCCCCTTTAATAAACATGGAATTTCAGGCCCTGGGGAAATTCTGAATGCCCCACCCCCCAGAGGACTATCATAAAGATTCACTCTGCAAACCCCCAACAAATCTCAGGCCACCATGACCTCTATGGTGAGCCTTTCGTCGGTATCCTATTTAGCTCATTGGCTAGCAAACCTGTATATGGCACACAGTAGGTGCTCAGGAAGGGTTTGGGGTATAACCCCATGAAATTCCGCTCTGGTTCCACAGCTTTGATTAGGCTCCACCCCCAGGGGTCTCTCCTTGCATCTCCCTTCCTCCCAGCCCCCACCCCCACCCCCACCTCCCGCCTCCATTTCACCCTGCAGCCCAGGTCCCATCAGCTGAGCCCGACTCTAGCCAGCAGAGCTCTGGGCCTCCAGAGGCCTATACAGCGTCAGCATCTTCCCAGCCAGGCGGGGATGTTCCTGCCCAGCACAGCCAGCCAGGCTCCTGGCCAGGGTCCACCCTGCAGAGGGGGTGCTGGCCCTGCCCTGCCCTGCCAGGGGCCCCACCCCCACTTGCCTCAGGAGTGAGGCAGCCCAGGAGCCCTGGGAGCTTCTATTGGCACCAGGGGCCTACAGGAGGGAGGCCAGCCTGGTCTAGATAATGCAGGGATGGGCCGATCAGGAGACAGACGGCTGTGGGGCCTCCTCACCTCACTGAGTGTCACCCACACACCCAGATACTCCACCTGCATCCCACATTACTGGGATCTGGCAGGCCCTGCCTGACTCTCCTATATACACAGAGGGAACCTCAGGGCTTCCCCACCCCATTCCCTTCTTGAAACATCCTCCACTGGCCTGCTCCCAGACCAGCTATCATTCTGGTCACTGCACTCTCATTACCTCATTTGATTCTGCTAATGTCTGTAAGGTCAGGTTTATTGACTAAGGAACCGGGGATTCAGAGAGATGAAGTAACTCATGCAAGGTCACACAGTAAGGAAGTGGCAGGGCCAGGATTCAAACCCAGTTCTGCTGCATGCAAAGCCTACAGGGCACCGATATCCCCTTCCCTCCCTCCTCTCCTCCTCTCCCTGCAGCTTCTGGGTCCCCTTCTTCCCAAGCCTTCCAGCTCCCTCTGCAAAGTCTCTCCTCCCCCATCCCTAGTCAGAATAATTCCCACCTCAGGGCTGCTAACACCTTGTTTACATGTACCCGACAGCAGCAGGGGACAGGAGTTATTTCTGAGGTGTCTGTCTCTCCGATACTCAGAAGGGCCTTGAAGGCAGGGAGTGACCCCAGTAGGTGCTGCTTAGACCTGACAGTCTGTCACTTCTATCTCCGCTCCCCCACCCCCCTGGCAAAAGTCCTCTGGCCTCCTCCTGGTGATCCCCTCCCCACCCTCAGCCTCCTGCCAAGACCAGCCCCGGCGCCTGTAACTGGGGTGAAGGTGGGGAGCTTGCTGAAACCTCTGGGGCTCTGCCAGTGCGCTGGCCCCTCCCTCTCCCCTTCAGTAGCTGAGGATCTGACCCTGACCTGCCACTAGGCAGTTCTCACAGAGACGCCCCGCTGCGCTAAGCATCAGCCCCAGCCAGGCTCTCCCCAAGCCTCCTCCTTCTGGAGAAAGGGCTCCAGAAGCAGAGAAGAGGCTGCCTTCAGCCCGAGTCCAGGAACTCGAGGGATCACATTCGGCCATTCCCTCCCCAAGGGAAGCTGCAGGCCTTGGAATAACCTCCCCCAACCCTACCAGGATAGTCCTCCCCTCCTCGCTTCCGGGGCAAGCTTGGGCTGGGGTCTGTCTGGACAAGTCCCCACCTCCAATTTGCTGGAGGGAAGAACTCCCGTCCTACCCCAAAAAGGTGGGGTCTGCCGGAAAGTGTCGGTGAAGGCGAGAAAACTCTTGGAGAAAAACAGAGGACAGGGACAGGGAGAGACTGGGCCACACAGAGACGAGATATGAAAGACACAGGGAATCCGGGGGATGAGAGCAAGAAGGAACTCGACACCGTCGGAGAGACCCGGGAGACCAGAGACAGATGGAAGTCCCTAGACCAAGCCTGGAAGGGAGCGTGTGGGGCTGGGGCGGCGACGGGAGGGCCACCCCGGGGGACAAAGCCGGCGCCCCAGCTCGTGGGTCCCTCGGTCCGGAAACTCAAAGTCAGTTACGTAAGGGCCGGAGCGGGGCGCGGGGCTCAGGGCCCGGGGAACACCTCCCGCTGCGGCGGCCCGGCAGGAGCATGCGGGGCCGACAGGGCGGGGCTGGGGGCCCTTCGGCTGCACCACTCCGCAGAGACCCGCCCGTGGGACCCGAACCCGGGACCCCCGCCCCACACAGGCCGGGGGCCGGCTGGCGCCACCAGAGGCAAGAGTCCAGCTCGGGACCAGCTCCGGACCCGAGCTCCTGGACCTCGTCTCCTGTCGCCGGTGCCCCTCCCTGCACCCTGAACTTCGAGACACCCAGGCCCGTCTGGACCCCTGGTTCGGACTTTGGAACCCGGGACCCCAAACACCCCCTTCCCTGACCCTTAGACCTTGGTCTCTCCACTACCGGGACGTCCCGGGCCTTTGGGAGTGGGTCCATCTGTCGCCCAACCCGTCCCTCCCGGGCACTCGGGGTCGCCCCCTAGGCGGTCCAGGCTCACCTGGGCCGGACCCGGAGGGGACCTGGCCGGGCCGGGCCGGGCCGCGTCCTCGCGCTCCGCCGCTCTCGCCCTTTAAGAGGTTCCTGCCACTTTGCCCGGCCGGGGGCCTCCACCTGCACTGACAGGGCAACTCCGGCGTGAGGCCCCGCCCCCGACCCGGGCGGCCTTCTGATTGGTGTAGGCAACTGCCAATCGGCAGGGCGGGTTCGGGGAGGACAGAGACCAGAAGTGAGAGCGTCGCAACCGGGAAGGGGCGGGGGCTGCAGGTGAGGCCTGATTTGGAAGCCTAACACTGGGCAGCCTGGTGTCGACCTGAGGGGTCAAGGGAAGGTTGGGCAGGAGTTCCTGGAATGGCTGATGTGGTCTCTGACGTCATGTGGCAGAAGTATGATGCAATTTGCCACGTGGTGCTGCCCCTAAGGTCAGGAAGGGAGGTAGGAAGGGAGTTGGTTGTAGTGGACCCAGGGAAGTGACTCTGAACAAGTCACTTCGCTGAATCCAAGTCTCCTCAACTATAAATCTTACAATGTTTTCCTGAGAATTAGCGATATGTGTTAAGTGCCAAGCACAGGTCTGGCACACAGTAGGTGGCATTCAGTGAATGTGACTTCTGGTTTCTCTCATCCCCCTCTTGCCACTCTTCTCCGCGACTTAGCCTTTCCTGATGGTCCATCCCATCAGGAGGGGGCTTACATGGTCCTGGTCCAAGTCCCCTCCTCACTCTACCTCATTTCAGACCTGTGCTTGCATACCTCTAATGACAGGAAACTCACCACCTCACAGGCTGACCTCTTGAAGTCCTGAGACTTCAAAAGCTCCCCCTAAGATAAAGGCCAAATCTGCCCTCTAGGATTTCTGCCCACACAGAGGGCAGATCTCAAGCAAAGGAATCACAGAACCATAGGATCATAGGATATTTCAGGTTGGAGAGCCATAGGAAGCTAATCCATTTGGGGGGCAAAAAGGGGAAACAGGCCCACTGAGGGCAACTGACTTCTGATGAGTTCAGTCTGGGGTCTCCCCAGTGCTGCCACTTACTGGCTGCGTGTTCCTTTGTGGGAGTCACTAACCCTCTCCAAGCCAGTTTCCTCCTCTGTAAAATGGGGTTAATAAAAGTATTTTCCTCAAAGGCTGTTGTGAGAATTAAGTGAAATCTATGTAAAGTACTAAGAAGAGTGCCAGTCTCAGGGGAAGCATCCAAAAAGTGTTAGATTTTATTACGATTATTGATGCTAAAGTTATATCAAGGTCCTAAATTCATGGATTGCCCCCAAATTCACAGAAGACTCCTCTGAGTCAGGTCTTGTTTTAGGCCTCAGGCCCTGGTGCCTGCCTTCAGGAAGCTCGCAGTCTAGCACAGAAGGTTCTGACTGAGCCCCTAGATCTGGGGGATGCTTTCTGACACAGGTGGGCAGGCTCCAACACTTCAGAGAAGCTTTATTTCCTTTAACTAGAAATCAGGACCCTTGAGACCCTTTCAATCCTGTGGACCCTCCCACACAGAAAGCTGACCTGCCCACCGAGGCTCCCAAGCACGGTGGCGCACTTTTCACTTGCCCACATTCTCACCTGTCCACCAGGTGGTATTGCCCAGTGGTTCAGAGCTTGGGATTCGAAGGCAATTGAATCTGGGCTGTGCATTTTCCCAGCTTTGTACCTTTGGGCAAATCACTTTCCCTCTGGGGTAAAACGAGATTAATAATAGCCCCAACTTTATAAAGAGCTGTTGCGAAAATTAAATGAAAGTATGTGAAAATACATATGCAAATACCCAGTAATAGATCTAGTATTAGTTTTTCATTGCTCCCACATGTCTTCATGCACCCAGGAGAGAGCAGGTTGTGAATGCCTTGATGTAGCCTCTGCAAAAGGGGTTTCCTCTCCCCATCCCCCTCCCTCCTCAGCCGAAGGGGCGGGGCGAGGAGAAGCCCCGCAGCGGCCCAGCCTCTGCTATTCCAGAACTGCCGCAGGCCCCGCCCCTCCCTGGCGGAGGCGGGCGCCCCGCTCCAGCTCTGTTGGGCCGCGCCGCCTGTGGGTGAGTCAGCAGCGCCAGCGCCTGCCCCGGCCTGATAAGTGTGTGTGCCTGTGAATGTGTGCGTGTTGGGGGTGGCCAGGGAGGGCTCTGTGTTTGTGAGTTTTGTGCGTAGGGAGTACATATGGTGGTGTTTTTGTGATCTTGGCCTTGTTTGTGTCTCTCATTTTTGTGTATTGGGGGGCGGGCATGTGTGAGTTTGACGGTGTGCCTGTGTTGGTGAGTTTGCTTAAAGGGTGTGACTGTGTTTGTGTCTCTTTGTGTCTTATAAACAGGTTGCCCTCCCCCTCGGGGCTCTGGGGACCTAGAGAGCCCTGCCCTGCCCTGGGGGCTTCTGCGTCTAGCAACCTGTGTGTGTTTCTAGCTGAGGCGACTTGTGCACTTGTGTGGGTGAACGTGGTCTAGTCGGTCACTGATGGGGGCTCGTGCTGTCACTGCCTGGGCTGCAGGGCCCCTGCCCCCTGCCACTGCCTGTGAAGTCTGTGCCTCCTCCCTCCCCAGTCTGCCGCCTGAGATGCCCTTGTGAGGGGAGACTCCGCGGAAGGCAGCTTCTGTTTAGCGATCACTACTGTTTTACCTGCCTTCTCTCATTGATCTCACTGGATCCTTACAGCCAAAAACGCTCTGAAGAGAGTCTGAGACTCAGAGAAGGGAGGTGACAGCCCAAGGTCACACGGCTCTCAAGTCCTGGAGGGCTTGATGGTGACAGGCAGGGGGCAGATCTCGCCTCTAGGCTGAGCACCCAGTTTGCCTGGGGCCTGTGGGGAGCTGATAAGCTCAGGGGGCAGGGGAGGGAAGCTGTTTGTGTCTCCCCCTCCTCCTCTGAGTCCTCCTGGGCCTCCAGCCAACTGCTTATCCTTCCAGAGGCTGGACACTGCCACCAGCTTCCACTGGGTGATTGGTCTTGAGTTGGGTGATAAAGAGGCCAGGGGACCTGTTGTGGGGGGGAGGCAGAGAACCAATATGGGAGCATCTGTTCCTTCAACATAACTTTGTTGAGCACATTGTTAAAAACTGAGCAATACCCTGCGCAGTCTCAGAGGGGAAGAGAGCCACAAGGAATGGTGGAGACAGAGTGGGAAGCTGAGGCCTGAGACAGGGCTGTGGCTGGAATCTGTTGCAGGTTGGAATCCTGACTCCATTTACAGGGTGGGTGTGTGACTTGGCCAGTCATATTTCTCTCCTAGCCTGTCTCCTCATCAGTCAAATGAGGTAATGGCACTTATCCTACCTGCCTCTCCCAGCTCCAGGATACTGCAAGGCAGAGCCACTACTTGTAAACTGAGAGTTGCTGTCCATACATAATGGACATTCCTGATCTCCTATGAGAAAGACGCTAAAGCAGCTTATACCCAGAGCCCAGAGAGGGGAAAGGATCCCATCTGAGGGATTAGGGAATACTGCCTGGAGGAGGTGACCTTCCAGCTCAACTTTTAAGGATGAGTTCACTATATGGAAATGGAAGAGGGCATTCTAGGTGGAGGAACAGTCTGTACAAGGGCCTGGCAGTAGAATAGTGAACATGTGCTCGGGGAACAGAAAATGGGCCGGTATATTTGGAGCACGGAGTGAATCATGAGACCAAATTCTGGAAGGCCTTGAATGCCAGGTTAAGACTGGGGCAGGTGGGTGAGAGGAGATACTGACATTTGGGGATTGCAGGGAGTCTTTTTGGTGGAGACAGCCGCATTCTAGCTGGAGTGTGGCAGTCACTTTGGGGGTTGAGACGGTGGGGGGAGTTGGTGGGCAGTGGTTCAGGGACCCCTCCCCAAAAGGAGCCATTTGAAACCTGAGGCACATCCTCAAGATGACATCAAGGTGAGCAAGAGGCTGCAGAGCCCCCTCCGAGGGAAGGATGGGCGTCAGCAGGGATGGAGAAAAAGCCCAGTCAGGTGCCCCAGTCCAGGAAAGGACCCGTGCGTAGGCACAGAAGGTGCCCACCGATGAATATGTAAGGTCCCTGAGTTTGCTGCAGTTTGGGGAGGGGGCCAGTCCCACCAGAAGAACTCGTTCCCAGAGAAGGCGTCATCTCCAGGACCCCCTGTTGAAACAGCCAGTGATTGCCAGGGTCTTCACTAACCTGCTCCCATGAGATAGCCCTATTTTATGGATGAGTAAAATGAGGCTGCGAGAGGTGAAGTGGTCTGCTGGCGATCACACAGCCAGTCAACGGCAAGGCTAAGGCTTGAAGGCAGCGTTCCCTGTTTCCTCTGAGGGCAGGAAGGAGGCTGTGGAAGTGTTTGGGGAAGGCTAAGATTCTGGACCAGAGAACCGTGGAGGAGCAGGTGCCTGGAGAGGAAATATGGTGTCTGCCGCCACCTCGCGGTCACAGAGCTTCTGGAGGGAAGGTGCGGAGCCCGGCCATCCCAGCTTCCCTAGGGCTTAACCCGCGAAAGGGGGCTTTGGGTGCACAAGTGTTAGCTCTGAGGCAAGGGGTTGTGGTGAAAGGCGGTCTTTCAAGTGAGACTATCCTGGATTGCAACCCCAGCCCATGATGACTTGCTTTGGGACCCCAGGCACGTCCCATCCTTGCTCCTCGTCTCTTCTGTCAGTGCCTTTGAGAGGATTAGAAGAGGTTATCTTTACTCTTGTGAAGACCTTCCCAGCCTTTTCTTCGTCTTTGTGTTGGGAAAACACAGGACCCAGGGGGCAGATCCAGGACTGTAAGTCCTCAAGCTTTTTTGGGGGCCTCTTTAAGAAAAAGAATGCAAAGTTAAGAATACAAAATGCATGTAGCCACTGAAGGCAGGAGGACACAAGTGGGAAGGAGAAGTCAGAGTGGAAAGTGATGGTGGTCTTAACCAATTGAAGTTAATGTATTTTACTTATGCAAATTTTACAGAAACATATGACCTTGTGAACACAAGGTCAAGGTCCCTCCTAGGACCTATGCAAGTGTGAGGCCTTGCCGGACACATAATCCTCAAGGTAAGTCCACCCCTAGGCCTGGCAGGGTCAAGTACGAGGTTTCCCACAGGAAATTTGGGAATTCTGAAGCCAAGCAGGATCTGGGTTCATGTCTCCCAGCCCCCGGCCGCAGGCAGGCCTTTCACCCAGATCTTCCAGAGCTTTCTACCTGGAACTGAGTCCATACTCCTCGCACCTTCCATGTGGCCACATCCTCACAGTTGCCTTGCTCCAGCCAGGATGCTCAGGGATCCTCTGTTCTGTCCAATTGAATCCTCCTTTGCTCTCCAGGCTTGGAGGTCCAACCCCATAAACCCCAGGAAGCCTTCTCTGCCTGCCCTTGCCTCTCAAGACAGAGCCAGCACTGTGGTCAGTACAGAGCTGTTGTCTCAGTTCCTATCAGTTTGCGGCGGCCCACATGTGGTCAGTCCAGATTGACACATCCTGAGCCCTTCCTCTTGCAGCCAGACCTGGGGGATGCGGGTTGGGAGACAGAGGACTCAGACCCAGTCCCAGCCCTCCTCCAGCTTATAATCTGGTGGTCAAGTAAGACATGGACTGAGTCTTAAAACTTTCAGGCCTGAGAATAACTTAGAGATCAACTAGTCCAAGTGACCATCAGAGTGATTTAGCCACAGAAGCCCAGTGTGGGAAACACTGTGGGAAGCAGGGCTGTTCTGAGGGAAGCAGTGAGTGTGGAGGGGTTAGGGGGGTGGTCCATGTGCTTGGCTCCCCCTGTCCTACCACCTGCTTGGCCTCTCCCAGCCCTTCTAAGGAGCTATGAGTTAGAAACACTGTTCGAGTTCAAGCCCTTTGCTTTAACAGAGGCCCAGCAAGGGTAAGAGACATGGCCAAGGTCACATAACAAGTTAGTGGCCGAGGCTGGATCCAAATCTCATTCTGCTTGATTCCAGGTTTGACCTCTCTTTGCTCAACCTCAATACTGGACACTTGGGGTTGAACCATCCCTTCCCACCCCTGACTCATATCTCCCTGCTCTCACTCTGGATCCTCCATCCACTCAGCACAGCTGGGATGGTGAAGAGAAGCTCAGAAGGGTCCCAGGGGCCCATGGGAGTGGGACGGCAAGGAAGGGGCCCTTTTGGAGCCTCCACACCAAATGAGGGCAGAGGCTGGACTTTTGTCTGTTCATTCACTGCTTTTCCTCAGTCTGAGCACAGAGCCTGCCCCACCGTGAGCAATAAGTATTAGTTGAATGAATGAACTGAAGCAGCAGCTCAGGGTAGGGGAACCTTCCTGGGTGGGAAATCATTTCTCCAGGTTGACCTCATCCACCTCTGGGTGCTTCTTCTGGTCCTATGGGCGTGGGCATCTGAGCTGGGCTTCTTGTGGGTCTTAGTAAATATTTTCCGCTGTGCTGTATCTTCTTCCTTCTCTTTCTCTTCAGAGCAACCTCCTATCAGAGGAGGCTGTTGTGTGACTGGGCAAGTCTCTTCCCCTCTCTGAGCCTCCATCTCCTCATTTATTAAAAATATTCACTTTAGGGGCCAGCCCAGTGGCATGGTGGCTAAGTTTGCACACTCCGCTTCGGTGGCCCAGGGTTCACAGGTTCAGATCATGGGTGTGACCTACACACCACTCATCAAGCCATGCTGTGGTGATGTCCCACGTACAAAACAGGAAGATTGGCACAGATGTTAGCTCAGGGCCAATCTTCCTCACCAAAAAATATACATATATTCACTTTAAAGTGTTTTTAATCTCTCAATTGAAATAATTATTATGACTTTTCATGTGCCAGGCACTGAGTAAGGTACATAGATTGAGAAAATAAGTGAGATAAGAACTGTACAGGACAGCGGTGCCTGACACATCATGGGTGGTCAGCCAGTGACAGTTCTCCACCCTGCCCAGCCCACGCTCACCCAGTGTCTCCCAACAGAATGACTCCCCCATTCAAGACCCCCCTTTCAGGAACCAGTTCCAGTCCCCAGCTTCCGGGATGAGGAGAGGAGGGGCAGGTGGGCGAGCTGTGGACCACAGGACCAGAGAAAGGAGTAGTAACGAAATAAGGGTGCCAATGCCAGGCATGGCCAGGAGGTGGCAGCAGCGTCTGTGAAATGAACCTGTGCTGTGGCAACCTCGTCTAAATTTCTCGCAGGCCAGGCTGTTGGGCTGTGATTGAGTGTGCGAACACAGTAGTGTGCCCCGGTGGAAGGTTTGTGTACAAAGAAGTGCGTATGCATGCCTGTGGTATGAACACACGTGTGCATGTGTATGTGAGCAATATGTATACAGGTGCCAGGAGTGAGTCTGGGTGAGAGAACAGAATGCACCCAACAGTGTGAAGGAGTGTGTGTGGGGAGGACGTCTGTGCACACAGTCAGGTGTGTATATGTGTGGGCTCCAGGTCAGTGCGGGTCTGTTTGCATGTGACTGTGTGGTGCATGTGGACCCCCCCCCCCAGCACAGCACCTCTTAACTTTTTGGATCTGGGGCCCCTGGAGCATCCAGTGAATCCTGCAGCAAGGCGCAGTGACACACAGTGCGTACCCCGTCTCAGAGAGCTCTAGGATCACCTGTGGACCCCGGGGTTCCCCTGGATAAGGAAGGATACTCAAATGTTAATGGGGAACTCTGGGGGATGTTTTTACCCCTTCTTTTCTAGCTTATCAGGTTTCTCAGTTTCTATAATGCACATTCTATAGTAACCACAAATGTTATTGAAGAAAAAAAAGTGTTCCTTTCCCTAGGTCTTTCCTTTTCCCCTCAGAGCAGGGTTCTCATGTCTGCTGATCCCATTTGAAGGGGCCCAGCAGCCTGCTGAGAAAGAGGAGGTCTTGCCCAGCGTGGGGGCGCCCTGATAGCAGCTGGAGGAGGTCCAAGCAGGGCAAAGGGTCAGTACAGAGCAATCAGAGAAGGCTTCCTGGAGGCAGAGGAAGTGGCGCTGACCCAGAGGGTGATGAAGTCAGCGCATGACAAGTCCTCCCTGCCTACTCCATTTCTCTGAAAACTGCCTGCCCTTGGGCTGGGTCACAGCAGGCCTCTTCCCGTAAAGGGTCCCCTTCTCCCTCCAAGGGAGTTTGAGGTTGCAGACAGGCAAGATTGAACTTAGATTCCTAGAATCCCCCATTCGGAAGAGGCATGAGAGATCATCTGGATTTTTCAGGCAACTGGGAGCTATTGAAGGTTAAAGGCAGAGTGTATTTCCCCATCAATGATAATGTGTGCTAGTTACCATGCACAGCTGTTCTCTTGTTGGGCCCTCAGGAAAGTCCTGGTCAGTTGGTTATAATAACTGTTACCCTGTTTTACAAAGAGGAAAGTGAGGCCCAGAGTGGTCATACAGATATGCTTTTCCTCAGGGCCTATGCGGAGGTGAATAGCAATTCTCTACTGTGCACACATACAGAAACACCCAGGTGCTCTCGCACATGCTGTGCAAACACTCTCACCTCCAGAGCTGTCCCCAGCCTCACCGGGAGCTGGCCCTGGGCAGAGCTGCCAGGCCTCTGTGAAGTCTCCTTGACCTGAGTCGCTCTCTGTGAGGAGGGTGAGGCCAAGCAGTCAAGCCCCACCCCACCCAGCAGCCTGGTAGCCCTGCCCGTGCCCCTGCCCACAGTCTGCAGCTGAGGGGGTTGGGATCCCAGATGGGGTCAGAACAGCCCCCCATGGAGCCGCGTGTGTTGGTGCTCATCCCCTTGACACAGCAGGCCCCGGGGTGGGCAGCCCTGGGCCGAGGCTCTGGGTCTCTGAAGGGAAGAGGGGCTCCAGGCCCTGGGCCTTGTCAAGGACCTGGTCACACGTGGTAGGAAGGCAGATCCTGGTCGGGAGGTTTCCCTTCCAGAGAGTGACTGATTAACCCTCGGGGCCAGCAGCTCCTCGGGGAGGAGACCACTGAGGACGTGGAGAAGGCCGCCTCCTCCCTCAGGGCTGCCTTGAACGCACACAGAGAGGTCTGGGGCTTCTGTGGCCAAAGCTAGGGTCTCTGGGGGGCAGGGGAGGGAAAGGAGGTGGGGGGGGTACTTAGTGGGAGCCCCAAGAGGCATGTGGGGTGGGCAGGGCTCTGGAGGAAGAGGGGCATAGATTAGCGGGGTGGGTCCCAGGGAAGAAGGAGGAGCCAGTTAGGAGGGTGGGGGAGGGGAGGGAGGTGGAGAGGCCGGCTCTGGTTTGCAGCCTGCTCTAGGAAGTGGCTCCAGCTCCGTGTGAGTCTGTCTCGCCCATCAGATGGGGTTCCATTTTTTTTTTTTTTAAAGATTGGCACCTGAGCTAACAACTGTTGCCAATCTTTTTTTTGTCTTTTTTTCTGCTTTTTGTCCCCAAATCCCCCAAGTACATAGTTGTATATTTTAGTTGTGGGTCTCTCTAGTTGTGGCATGTGGGACACCGCCTCAACATGGCCTAATGAGTGGTGCCATGTCTGCGCCCAGGATCCGAACCGGTGAAACCCTGGGCCACCGAGGCGGAGCGCGTGAACTTAACCACTGGGCCACAGGGCCAGCCCCGAGATGGGGTTCTTAAGGACAGCGTTGCGTCTCCATCTGAGCCAGGTCCTGAGGGTAGGGCTACACTTTTCACTCAGTGTGAGCAGACGGGTCTACGTCACCCCCCAGACTGGGGCCCCTCTCATGAGGGGACCAAAGAAGGTGAGCAAAAGAAACAGCCAGAGATGTGGACACTGAGAATAGTGCTCACATTATTGGGAAAACAGAAGGTTGGGTCCTTGGTACCAAGACGAGACCTGGGATAAGCAAAAAGCCAGGTGCTTGAGTCAGGTGTGTTTGTTTTTGACATGCCTGCCTCCCGCACCCCAAAGTGGGGCAGCTCCAATTACAAACAACGGACCCCTAGGCATCCTTTTTCCTACCTCTGGGCAAATGCCCAGTGGATGTTTCCAGTGGATGTCTGTTTCCAAGATCAAGGAACACGAGGGAAATGTCTTTCTCTCTCAGGATGGCAGAGCCCTCAGAACCCATCAACTCCTACCTCTGTCCCTCCATTGTGCAGAGACCCAGAGAGGGACAGAGACCTGCCCAAAGTCACACAGCAAGGAAGTGGAAGACAAAGAGTCAAACCCACATTCCCTGCCTCCTGACTTGGGACACATTCCTAGAGGAGGTTCTAGAAGATAAGCCCCATCAGATGGGTGTCACCTGCACCAACCCCCGTCAAGGGAATCCATCTCCATGCTTCAAATGTTCATGCCATAAGGCCCAGGCCAGTGCCACCCAGAGACCTTTCTTCCCTCCCAGGCTGTGCCCCCTTCTTGAGTCCCTGCCCTGGGAGGGCAGTCCTCGTGAGGACAAAAGGGGACAGCCATGTATAAGGTACTTGGGGAGAAGACATCCTCTTGAAAATTGCTTCTCCAATGCAGGCTATCCCACCTTCTGAAACTCAAGGAGATGGTTAAAAGAGAAAGTCCTTTGCTCCTGAACTGCCTACAGCAGGAAGAGACGTGGCTCAGCACAGGCACAACCCAAAACGTTAGATAGTATTAAAAAGCTCCATGTGTTGAGTGCTTACTCTGCACCAGGCACTTCACTCATCCACTAGGCAGAATACCTACTGGGCGCCAGCTGCAGTGCCATCTGCTAGGGACACTTGTGTGACCAAACAGACACCTTTACTCACAGCCTCTTTCTAAATCTTCACATCTTCTTGCCAGGGAAGGTTGTCATCCATCATTGAGGAGGTGGGCTCAAAGAGTGAGGTGACTTGCCCAAGGTCACACAGCAAAGACACGGCAGGCAGCCAAAAATTACAGAGCAAACAGGTCGTCAGAGTGGGGAGGGAATGGGTGGGGAGAGGGACCTGTCAAGGTCACAGCAGTTTCTTGCATGGCTGGTCCAGGCTTCTGCTGCCAAGGTGATGAGGCCCAGAACCTGGCACCAGGAATGCTCAGTCCATGACCATGAGCTGGACGCAAGGTCTCCCTAATGCCTCTGTGTAATCATGGCGTTTCCTCTTGGGAGACGGAAGGAGGAAAGCAGAGGAAGTGGACTTGACAGACCTAGGATGGGATGCCAGCTGGCCCAGCCATCGAGAAGCCGTGTGGCCTTGGGCAAGTCATTCCCTTCACTGAGCCTCAGTTTCCTCATCTGTAAAATAGGGGTAGTAATAATAATGCCTACTTCATAGTCATGCTGTGAAGATTAAACGCCACCCCATGTCAAGTGCTAAAACAGTGCCATGTATTACCTGCTGTTATCATCACGCTGGCCTCTCCCCGAGGCTCTGCATCTGGGAAGGGCTGTGCACCAGGTGGGACTCATGGCCAGCGGTGGTGACGGAGCTGGAACCTGAGCGACCCCCACTAGCGCTCTATGACATCAGGATGTCCATCTTAAAGGCCCTCACCAGTGCCTCTCTGGACTCTATTTTGAATTGTCAAGCTGCCTGCCTCCAGAACCACACAGCCCGCTGTCCTGGTCCCCAGTGTCCCCACATCTGCAAGCTCAGAGTTGGGGGGACCAGGCCCTGACTCTCTCCAGTCACTCCCCCCAGCTCCCAGCACCACGTGCTCGGTGCCCAGAAGAGAAAGAAAGGAATAAATCCTAATGAGTGGATAAATGATGAGAGAAAGGTGTGTGGATGTGTTTTGTGGGGCCATGATCTGGGGCTCACTTCCTAAGGGCTTTGGAGCCTCTGAGCCTGGACCTGCAGTAGTTGCCAGGTGGGGAAGGCAGCCAGAGGCCAGGTGAGGGATCTGTGGCTGAAAACAGAGGGGCTGGTGTTTGTGCGGAGACCTAGCAGGGGCCCAGCCTAGACTGTTGCTCCTCCAAGTCCTCGCAGGACGCTGGGGGCCCCTCTCCACCTAGAGGAGTGCTTCGAATTCCCAGCCAAGCAAACCTCCTTAAACAGCCGCCTCTAGTACCCCCACAATTATTACAGGATAACCCTGTCTTGGGGACCTACTGTGTGCCAGGCACTTGGGTAGGCACCTCACTCACAGCACCTCCAGCCTTCAGAGGGGGCTCTTGGAAGTGAAGTGACTTGCCTGAGATCACAGTTAGCAAGTGGCCAAGAATCTAGCAAAATCAGGACTCTTATTAGGGACTGAGCATCCTATTAGAGACTGACCCATTCCCTCCTCTTAAATCCAGGAGGAAACAGAAGCTCAGAGAGGGCAAATCCCTTGCCTCGGTCACACAGCCAGTCAGCTTCAGCGCTGAGATTGAATCCAGATTTGGGGCTTCCCAGGCCATGTAGGAGACTGAACTTGACGGCTCTGGTTTACTCCCATCACCCTCCTGCCCTCCCCACCCCCAACCTCTCTTATATGACACTTGACATTATCCATCACTCCTTCCCCCTGGGAACGCCCTCCTCCTCCAGTTTCCATGGCAGCACATTCTCCCCATCCTCCTCCTGCTTCAGCGGCAGCTTCTCATTCTCCAGGGTGGCTCCTGAGCCCAGAAAGCAGGGGGGATCCCCAGGCTGGGTCCCCAGTGTCTTCTTTCTCTTCCTCACTCCCCCTGAACGCTCATCTGCTTTTCCCTCCGCATCTTGAGCTCTGATCTTGCACTGCAGCTCCAATTCTAAGTCATGACAGCTACTTACCATGTGCTGAGAGCTTCCTTCTGTCCTGGGCCCTGCACATCCCCAACTCATTAAATCCTCACAACCACCCCATGAAGAAAGTCTATTCTACAGATGAGGAAACTGAGGCACAGAGAGGGAAAGCCGAGCCTGACTCCAGCCTCATCACTACTCCTATTACAACAAGAAGAGATATGAAACTACAGGACATTTTGAAACCGGAGGCAAAAACTTCCCTCCCACCACCTGAAGAGAGAATGGAAATTTGGGGGGAAACCAGACCCGCTCTACAGTGTTGGGAGCCCTGTGATGATCTAGAATTACGCTGTCAATTTGGAGCTTTAAAATACATCGTGCACAGCATATTTTGAAATGTGAAGATTGGGAGAGCTTCAGGAGGAATGAAGGTTCATGGAAAATTGCCCTTTTCCTTCAGATTTTTCCATTTGGTTTTAAGTCTTCAAAACTCTCATCCCAGGATTCCAGCTACTAATGCTCTTCTTCTTTAGTGATGCCTGGAATTCACTGGAAACTTGGACCCTGGAGTTCCGCTGACCTGAATTCTGTTCCCACTAACAGGCGGTATGACTTAGGAGTGAGTGGTCAAGCCTTACTTGTCGAAAGTAAGGGTAATACTACTTCCCCTGCTGAGTTGTCATGCAGATCTGGGGGATAATGTGCATACAGCACTTGGCACGGAGCCTGGCACACAGAAGCGCTCAGTGGGGCCCCATGCTCCAGCTGCACACAACTTCTCAGGTTTGCTAAGCACATTTCCATGGTTTTGCACAAGCTGTTCCCTCTTCTTGGTGGCCAACTCCTACTCATCCTTTAAGGCCCTCTGACTTTTTCCACCTCTTCTACACTTACTACAAATATGTGTTCCAGTAAAACACTAGAAAAGGCACTTCCCTGTGACACCCTCCCTAGGGCTCCCTGTCATTGCATGTCACTGCACCGAGATGCAGTGATCTGTTTATGCTTTGGTCCCAACAGGGGCTTGAACTTCCTGAGGGCAAGGACATATCTGATTAATTTCTGAGTCCCAGTGGCCAGCATGCACAGCCTGGCATGAAGTAGATTTCAACACAAGTTTGCTTTACCTTAAATGCACGTGGTCTGGATCCAGCCCCTGCTGCCCCAGGACAAATTTATGTCTAAGAAATGGTCAAAAGAAGCCAAATCTATTACAGCCACTGGAAGTGGCAGTGAGTGGACCCAGAGCAGCCTTGAGACAGGCCTGTCCTGGGAGAAGTTGAAGGGGACATAGTCCTTGCAAGCGAATAAACAGCCTTGGTTTCAATGTCACCTCCTTCAGGAGTCTTCCTTGGGTCCTAAATTGTCCCCTTTCTCTGAGATCTCCCCAAGGCATTAGCAGAAGGGGTCCCAAGTGTTGACGAGTGTCCCGGAGTGTCCCCTGCCTTGCTGAAACTCCCCCACCCCCCACATTCAGACACAGGTCCCTACAGTCATAGGCTCCATTTGGAGGATGAAGGTGATGTAGGTGGGCCGGGACTCCAGGCCTAGGTAGCCTGGCAGGATGGCTCAGTGCTGGGCACTGCCCCACATCTTCCAGGGTGCCCGTGGAGCCTTTCCTAGAGGAAGGAAATCCCCAAGTCTGGGGCTTCAGGGGACCTCACCCTGAGAAGGGGGCTGTGCTTTGCCCCCTAAGGGCATGCCTACCCCCAGTGTGCCCAAAGCCCATCTTGGTGCCTAAGCCCCGCCCCGCCCCTCCCCCCCCCCCCCATGCTGGAGTGACAGCCTCTCAGACAGGGGAAAGGCTTTTGTTCCCAAAAAATGACTGTCAAGGGAGAAGAGGTATATTGTTTCTTTTTTTTTTGTTTGAGACAAAGACGTCAATTTCTTTCCATCTGTCCCAAAAAGGGAAGAAAATTAAATTTGTTTTTACAAGGATGTCAGCACACTGCTTCAACAGGGATTCAGGGGTGCGGGCCCCAGGCAGTGTCTGGGGGGTGGGGGCGAAGGTGGGGGGAGAGGAGATGAAGCATGGAGGAGGCACAGGGAACAAGGACAGGCCCTGATATAGGGGGAAGCAAAGACCGGGGAAAGCCTGAATAAAATGCCAAACGAATGAAGAGAAAAACTTCTATGCCCAGCTCCGGGTGGACCCTGCCCTCAGCAGCTTGAAAGGGGCAGCTAGAGCAGCTGAGGGACCTGGGGGGGGTCCCTGGGGGAAGGGGAGAGGGGAGCACACACTGACGCTAGCATCACAGTCATAAATGCCTTCTTCCTGCCAGTTCCTTCAAAGTCAAGGCTCTGGGCAGGCAGTTCCAGTTCACCAGAAACACTGGACTCCCTGGGGGCAGCCAGCTGTTGGGAGAAGGGAGAGAGGATTTCTTGGAGATTCTTCTCAGGGGCCCAAGAGCCAGAGGCTGAGAGGAGGAAAAGTCCATACGGGTCTTCAGACGCCCCCACCAGTCCAGGTGCACTCACCATCCACGGACTCTAACCAGAGTGGTCCTCATCCTCCAGCACCTGGGCCAGAGAAAGCAGGGCACTGGGGACCCCTAAACGGTCTGCCCTCTAGCTGGAGGACCTAACCTCAGAGCAGAAGCCCCCTCCTCCTCGGCCCCTCACCCCCACCCCTGGTACAGAGGCCGACTTCCAGCTCCAGTTTTGGAGCCAAGGGACCTCCTCACTCTTTCCAAGTCCTGTTAGAACTCAGGGCTGGGGATCCTAGCCCAACTGAGGCTTTGTCCCACTATCCTATCCTGGAGCCACTGGCCCTGCTCCACTGTCCTGTCCCAAACCCCACTGGGATGCAGTGCTGGAGAAATTACTTGGATGCTGAGGTACCCCTGCCCATTCCAAGGAAATGACTGTCAAGGAGAGAAAAGGTATATTGTTTCTCTCTCTCACTCTCTCTCTCTATAAAGATGTCAAGTTGGACCTGGACCTTGGGGAGGCCAGTCTCTTGCTGGAACTCGGGGCTGGGACTCTATCCCAAAGTTGAGGCCTCCGTCTGCTGCACCCAGGCCCTATCTTGAGCTGTAGCCACACTTCACTGTCCTGCCCTTCTGTCCTGCCCAACAAGAGGCCCCTCCCCACTACACAGAGACCAATCTTGCAGCTCAATTCTCAAGTGACCATCCCCACCACTGCCCTTCCTGGGTCCTGGGTCCTGGATCTTCAGGTCTCAGGCCAGATCCCCACTCCTGCAAGCCTGCTCTGGGTTAGAACTCAAGGTTGTCCCAAGGTTGAGGCCCATCCCATTGCAGAAGCCCTGTTCGGCGGCCCAGTTCTGGAGCCACAGGTCCCACTCCCCTGGAGTCCCTAGCTTCACCACCACCTTCCAGCCCAACCCAGAGCCCCCGACCACGCCCTCAGCCCAGAGGCCCTGCCCCACCGTCCTGCCCTCTGCCCCGCCCCAGACCAGAGGTCCACCCCACTGCAGGGACCCCATCTCTTGGCCCCTGCCTGGTCTCAAGCTGGCCCCCTTCTCCAAAAGAGGCCTCTTCTGCCCCTTTCCGCGCTGTGGCCCCCAGTGTGACGGCCAGGTCACTCCGGAGGGGCGCGCGGCGGGCCGGCCCAGCCTGGTCAGGCGGCGGCGCCACCACCGGGCCCGTCGGACGGGGTGCAGGCGGTGACCCGCTCGCGGGCCGTGGCTTCGCGGGCGCGGCCGAAGCTGCCGGGCTCGGGGCGGCTGCAGGGCGTGCGGCAGAGCTGGCGGAAGCAGCGCTTGAAGTTCTCGTCGAGGAAGGCGTAGAGCACTGGGTTGAGGCTGCTGTTGGCGTAGCCGAGCGCGATGCACAGGTGCAGCGCGGCCACCACGAGTGGGTCGCGGCGGTCGATGTCCACCAGCGTCCAGACGATGACGAAGATGTGGATGGGCGCCCAGCATACCACGAAGGCGCCCACCACCACCAGCACCATGCGCGTGATGCGCCGCAGGCTGCGGTCCTTCTCCTTGGAGCCCGACAGCAGGCGCACGCTGCGCAGGCGCAGCAGCATGAGGCCGTAGCACACGGTGATGATGAGTATGGGCACAACGAAGGCGAAGAGAAACACGCAGATCTTGGTCACCGTGTCCCAGTACCAGCTGGGGCTGGGGAACTGGAGCATGCACACCACTGCCCCGTCTGGTCGGGAAAACAGGGAAAGACAGACAGGGGGTGAGGGGCTTGTGGCCTAAGGGACCCTACCTGCCTGCTCGCCCACCCTTTTCGGCTCGGTCAAGTCACACTGCCTCCTCCTGGCCTTTGCTCAAGGCGATTCTTCTACCTGGAATGTCCTCCGTCACTTCTGCACTTGGTGAACTCTTACTCTTCCTTCAAGATCCCAGCAGGATTGGCTCTAATCCAGTGGGTCTCCTTTCCATATTCCTCCCCAGTCCTTTATAAGCCTCTATGTCCATGGGCAGCCGGAATGACAGAATTTAGCCCAAGCCCACCAAATGTGGGTCATTATGATAAGTCAACACTCCACACATTTCCAAAGTAGTTCTAGTGAGGACACTACTGCTAAGACTGATGCAGAGGGCCTGACTAAGAGCAGGAGTCAGGCCCTACTAACTGCGTGCTGCGGCCTTGGGCAAATTATTCAACCTCTACAAGAGCTAACATAAGGTGGGACTGACAGCAGTACCTGAACCTCACAGGGCCCTTGTGGGGATTAAATAGGCCAAGGCATGCAAAGCATTTAGCACCGAGGGGTTCAAGCTCTTGGTGCACTCACAGGGCAGGGGGGCAGGCACACGTGGGAGTCCAGAGGTCACGACCAGGGCCAGGGAGGCAGACCTCAGCTTAATGTCAAGAACTTTCTGACTGCCAGACTCGTCCAGAGATAAGAGGGCCCCCCAGGATTCAATGAGCGCCCTGTTCCTGGAGCGTGGGCTTGGGCTGGATGAGCACTTTTGGGGATGTTGTGGGATTCAGGCACAGGGCTGAGGCTAGCCCAGGGGACTCCCCAGATATCTTGGAATTCTGGAATTTGAGGAGCCATACAGAGGAGCCTGAGAGTTGTGAGAAGGGGGCAGAGGAGCCACAGACAGAGTGGATCCACAGGACCTCGGGCTGGCAGGACCCCTCAGGGATGACTGAGTCCAAAGACTTCATTGTACAGATGGCAGAACAGACCCAGGGGAACAGCTCTTGTCCAAGTTCACACAGGAAGTGGTATACAGAACCACGTGCTGATGGCACACACTGGGTGTGTTTGTGTGTGTCTGTGTGTGAGTGTGTGGAGTGAGGAGGCCCATCTGGCCCGGCCCCCAGAAGGACTGCAGTCAATGGACCGTAAACTGAAGGCTGACAGTGAGGAGCGGGGCCCAGCTGCTGAGCCAAGCCCAATCACTGAGAGGACGTATAAGCACACTGGGGGCTCCACCCTTGTTAGAGTCAAGGGCAGCCAAGAGACCTCCCACCACGCCTGTTCCCCTCTCCCACCGCAGCAGCGACAATCTGCACATCTTCATCCCAGGGGCCAAAAAGAGCAAGAAAAATAGGAGCAGGAGCTTTGGGTTCTAGGCCAAAGTCCACCAAATGTCTGGCTGTGTGACTCTAAGTAAACCACTGACCTGTCCGATTCTCAGTTGCCTTACGGTCAAATGGACGTAGGAGTCCCTGTCTTGTCTATCTCACAGGCTGAAACGTTCTAATTGCTCCTTTTTATTGGGCCTTGGCAATGAGCCAGGCCTTGTCCTGAGTGTGTGGCTCACAAGGCCAGTGACCAGTGTCTTTGGTGCCCTGCTAAACCACTTTTCCCACTTCCTCACATCAAGTTGGGGCACGTGAGCAGCTCTCACTAGGAAGAGATGGGCCATGACATTTGAAAGTGGTGGTGCTTTCTCACCACTCCCTCTCCACCTTCATCTGCTGGCCAGATGCCTGCAGGGGAAGATTCCCAAACCAACGTCTGGGGCCTGGGTCCCTGAATGACTGTGTGGAATGGAGCCCCTCCTCCTCTTACTCATACTGGACTGGGATGTGAGTGAGAAATAAACTTCTACTGGGTTAAGCCACTGAGCTCTGGAGATTGTTACAGCAGCTACCCAGACTGGTACAGGTAGTTACTGTGCTAATTACCATTTTACTCTGGGGAAATGCACCTGTTTGTCATTCTCTGAAAGCCATTCTCTAGGCCTTGCTTTGGTCATCTGAGGCAATGGTTTTCAAATTGGGGTGGGACTGCAGATCTGGTGGCCTCCACTGCTCACTGGTCCAGGGACACCCTCACTCCATTGGCCATCCATCCATCTCCCTATAGGTTAGTCATCTACACACTTCTGGCCAGCTGCCACAGGCATATAAATCAGCTATCCATAAGCCCATTCATAAGTTTCCTTTGGCCAGCAACCTATGTGACCACTGACCAGTCATTCATCCTCACAACAGTCAACCATTCCCATTCCTCATTGGCCAACCATTCCCATACCCATTGGTTGACTATCCACACTGCCACTGGCCAGCCATCCACACCTGTCATTGATCAGCAATCCACACCTCCACTGATGAACCACTGACACTCACCCTGGTAAGTGGCCTGCAAACCCACAGAGGCCCGTGTGCTGCCTCCTGTGGTCAGTAGCCTGCACCACAGCTCCCTCACTCACTCACCCCGGGGGCGGGTCACAGCCATGACCATGATGGGTACACCAACACCTGAGGCCAGGACCCAGATGCAGATGTTGATCAGCTTGGCCTTGGCGGGTGTGCGGAAGTCCAGGGCCTTGACAGGGTGGCAGACAGCAATATAGCGGTCGACACTCATCATAGTGAGTGTGAAGATGCTGGTGAACATATTGTAGTAGTCAATGGAGAGCACAACCTTGCAGAGCAGTTCCCCGAAGGGCCAGGTCTCCATCAGGTACTTGGCGCTCTGGAAGGGCAGCGTGCTAGTGGCCAATGCGTCTGCCAAGGCCAGGTTGAAGATGTAGATGTTGGTGGCTGTCTTCATCTTGGTGTACCTTAAAAGAAAATGCATGTATAACTGTTCCATTTCACAGATTTCAGTTTCCCGTGAGACTCAGGGAGGTGAAGCGACTTGCCCAAGGTACAGATTTGCCCAAAAGTCAGGGGCAGAGGAGGAACTAGAACCCGGAATGATCTGATTCAGCATCACTCCTTTCCACTCTAACGGATGAAAAGGATTTCTCTGGCTGTGTGTGACTTGGGCAGAAGCTTATCTTCTGAGGGGTGCTAAGCAATATGGATAAACATAAAACTGGAATCCAGAGGAAAATAGCTCTGGATTCTACTCCTGCCTCTACCATTTATTAGCTGAGGGAATCTGGGCTAGTACTTTGAACTTCCTAAGCCTCAATGTCTGTGACTGCAAAGAGATGGGTGATGCATTTACCAACCTCATAGGGTTGTTCTGAAATGTAATGAGATGATACAGCACTTAGCGCTGAGCCCACAGCACAGTAAGTGCTCGGATATGAAACCTGTTACTATTCTTCATATATACAGAATGAAGCTGGGGGCTAGACCAGAGTGACTTGACCCTCTGGCCTCTACCACTGGCCTAGTCTTTTGAGAATATGATTGGCCAGCTCTGAGGAAGGCACTCTGCCTACCAGGCTACCTTAGACATCTTGGGGTGTCCTCTGTGGCAGACCAGAGCTCCAAGTCCTTCCTGTGGTCCCATCCAGACCTTCTTACCTCCATGCAGCTGGACTCACCCAGCAGTGGGGAAGGGAAGCAGGTGACCGTGTCACACATCTGACCCAGGGCATGAGCCGAGGTGTCCAAGCCAGAGGTCTGCAGCCAAGCCCTGTCCCCAAAACTCCCCGACATCCCTCCATGCTCTATGCTGCCAGATGGCTGCGTGCACTGCAGCTGGCCCCTGAATGGCCAACATTTACAGTCATGGCCCCTTCTGTGCCAGGGCCTAGGCTGGGCACCAGGCACCACTGGAGGAGGCCGCATACACTGAGATGGACTGTCCCAGTGCTGTGTGATCACCGCAGAAACACACAGGTACCCAGGGGTAAGGCCTGCTTTCATGCCCTTGGAATGATCTGAGAAACCCAGAGAAGGGATGCATGGGCAACTCCTCAAATTTCAGAGCAGGAAGAGGCCTGAGAGATTGAGGAGAAGTGATTTCATTAAAGTGTGGTCCAAGGACTCCCTTCAGAATTACTGGAAGCACATGTGAGAAACGCAGATTCTTGGGCCCCACCCCAGACCTGCTAAATCTTAATCTTTGGAAATCAGACCTGGCAATCTTCATCTTTAACAAGCACCCCCTCCCTGAAGTGATTCTGATGGACTCTAAAGGTCGAGAAACACTATGCAGCCTAAAGCCCATAGTGGGGAGAGACAGGGAAACTGAAGCCCAGGGAGGTGGCATGACTCACCCAAGGCCACATTGTGATGGTGGCACAGCCAAGCAAGAACTTAGACCTCAGGACTCCCAAACCAGTGCTCTCTCTTCACTCTACCCCACGGGTGGAACCACACTGCGTGCCTCTACTCCTCTAGAATCCCCCTGATACCATGCGCAGCCCTGGGCCCCCAGGATGCTGCAGGGGTCCCGTGAGAGCTGATGGGGGCACATGGAGCGCGCTCAATGTGTTCTGAATGACTGAACGAATTCCTATCAGCTGTGGCTGTTCCTTCATGGAGTGACTGATTTTTTTGGTTTAAAAAGAAAATTGACTCATTCATTGTCCTCCAGGGCCAGCATCTGTCCCACTCCCTCCCGAAATAGCTGTCATTTGCCCTGGAACGGGGGAAGCAAAAAGTTTCGCTGGCAGACAGCAGAACGGCAAGTCTCGGAAGTCTGCCTGGAGCGGGTGCGGGATCACAGCTGTGTGGGAGGCGGGCTCAACCCCACAGCTGACTTGCCTAATTTCGCTGCTTTTACGCAGAACAATTAGAGGCTGTTCTTTGCCTGCTATTTTGATTTGTGAAGGATCCTTCCATTCCCAGGGGGGCTGGGATGCTGGGAAGTAGGTGATGAAGCTGCTGTAGCTGGTCCCGGCAGGCCTGAGAGGCACAGGGCTGACTCTGCCAGGCAGAGCCCTAGGAGCTCCTCTCTGAACAGGCCTCCCCCCCACAGCTAACCGGCTGCCAGGCCCCGTCCTATGGGCCTCCTCGGACACATCATGCCGCTCTCCTGCCCTCAGCCCCCCTGTGGCTCCCCAAAGTTCTCTCCACGTTCCACAAACTGGCCCCAACCACCGCTCGGCCTCAGCTCCCAGAACATTCCCCTTGACGGATGTGCCCTACCCCCACCCCCTCCGCCTCTTTGCTGTTCCTCAGACACATCAAACCCTGGGGTGCTGTTCCCTCTGCCTGGAACCCCAAATTTTGCATGGCTTGCTCCTTCACTTAATACAGGACTCGATTCAAATGTCACTTCTTCAGAGGCCACCACAACCATCCCTTTCCCCACTATCACTCTCTATCTCCTTATATTGCTCCACTTTTCTTTATAGCGTAAACCACTGCCTGACATATGTATCTTCTCTTCTTTCCGTCTGCCTCTTGAGCCCGTGTAAGCTCCCTGAAGTCTTTGTCCATTTTGTTCTCTGCTGTGTCGTCAGGCCTGCGAATGGTGCCTGGCCAATAGCAGGCTCTCGATAGGCATTTGTCACATGGATGTCTTGGTCCAGGCCTTGTCAGCCCTCCTGGGGACTACTGCAGCAGGCTCCCTCCCCCAGAGTTCATCATCGGCAGAAGTCAGGGCACTCATTACAAAAGACAGACTTGCTCAGGACACTCTCCTGCCTACAGCTCTTCCACGGCTCGCCACTGCCATGTGGACGAAAGCCACACTCCTCAGACTGGCATTCCGTCTGGGCAGACTCCTTCTCAAAGTACCTTCCCGTCACATCCAGCCACATTTATAGCGCCCCAGACGCTCGGTCTAGCACGCGCTCCCTCCTAAGAGACAGCCAGTGTAATGGTTTGCGGGCATCCCTCCAGATCACATAGATGTATATAGTTTTTTATAAAATTTTATTTCTGCCAATTTAATTCAATTATATAGTCTAAAAAAAATCCTATAGTACTATAATGAAAACAGTCCTCCTGTTGCCCCACCCTTCCTTGCTCCTCTGTCCTGCTCCCCAGAGGCAACCACTTTTAATGTTTTTAGTTATTCTTCCAGTGATTATCTCCATAATTCTAAATAATGTGCTTAAATGGCTATTTTCTTGATTTATCAATTTTAGACAGTATGTGTCAAAGTTTGTATTGGGTTAAGCCAGGCTATGCAGCAGTAACAAATAATCCCAACATCTCCGTGGCTTAAGACAATAAAAGTTTATGTCTCATCTTTGCAGAGTCCATTCAGTGTCTCCAGGACCGTTATATTCCATGCGGCAATTCCAGCCTGTTTCAATCTGGTGGCTCTGCCATCTTACCCTAAGGCCTCCTTGATCTCCACAGAGGGAGAAGAGACAGTGGCAGGGTCATCTAAGCTCCAATCTAGCTGCAACACAGCACTTCCACCTGACACGGACTGGCCAGAACTAGTCATATGGCCCCACTCAACTGCAAGGGGCGAAGAAGTAGTCTTCTATGTGCCCAGAAGCGGGGAGAACCAGATGTTGGTGGGCACTAGTAATGTCCTCCACAACTCCCTAATATGGTAGAGGAGGATTAACGCTCCTACGCTACCCAACTCCACCTCCTCTCTCCATCCTTTCAACACAGTTTTATCACAACTTTTAAATTTTTAGCTAAAGTAATATTCCGGGTTTACATTCTTTTTTTTTTATAGGGTTTGTATTCTTATGGCTTTGTAGATATTGTCCACTGCGGAGCCAAATGGTCTATTATAATTACATTTGTTTTCCAGTACAGATTTTTGTTTTTCCTGGAGTTAATAAGTGCCTCTCTTTTTCATTTGCTTAGTTCTGTGTATATATTGCTAAATCTCCTCAAACATTCCAGCAGACCTTTGAAATGCCTCTTCTATATGGTCACATAATCTGTCAGTCCCTCCTGTCTTCCTAGCGATCCACCTCCTGAAGCCTTCCTCCTCCCCTTTCAATCTGGGGCTGGTCGCTTTCTACACCAGCAGCACACCTGTCCTCCTGTATTAGAGAACACGTGTCCCGGTTTGAGAGTCTTTTCCATCTTGGTTTATGCCCTCATCTTAGTGGGGAACATTCTCTAGTCATTTCCTAACAAAGAACACATAGGAAGTAAAATTTTAACACCTTTGCATGTCTTAAAAATGTATTTATTCTATCCTCACTTCTGATTTCTTTGACTGTAGACAGAATAATAGGTTGGAAATAAATTTCCATCAGAATTTTGAGAGCACGGCCCCCTCATCTTCTAGCTTCCAGTGTTGCCACTAAGGTACCTGGAACCCTTCTGATTCCTGGTGACTTGTATGTAATCTGTCCTCCCCACCTCCAAAACTTTTAGGAGCTTCTCTTTATCCCTGGTTTTATGACGTTTTGTGATGATATGCCTTTGGGTGGCTCTTTTTCATTTGTATTGGGCCCTCTCATTCTGAAGATTTATGTCCTTCAGTATGAAATATCTTCATTTCTTTGATAATTTACTTCTCTCTGCTTTCTCTTGAATCCTTGAAAAATCTGTTAGTCAGATATTGGGCCTCCTGGATTGATCCTCTAATTTTCTTTTCTTTTTTTTTTTGTTTTTGAGGAAGATTAGCCCTGAGCTAACATCCACCACCAATCCTCCTCTTTTTGCTGAGGAAGATTGGCCCTGAGCTAACATCCATACCCATCTTCCTCTACTTTATATGTGAGATGCCTCCACTGCATGGCTTGATAAGGTACATAGGTTCGGGCACAGGATCCAAACTAGCAAACCCTGGGCTGCCGGAGCAGAGTGCGCAAACTTAACCACTAAGCCACCAGGCTGGCCTCTCTAATTTTCTTCTCTTTTCTATTTTCCACCTCTTTGTCTTTTTGGTACATCTTCTGGGAAATTTCCTTTTTATTATCCCTCAACCTTTGTCTTGACTTTTTGGTTT